GTCGGGTGAACAGACATCGGTGACCCGAGTGTTAGACAAATTGACTTAATTTTATGTTTCAAGCCGCCGGTTACTTTTGTTATTTCTTTTTAATCTTTGTTTGTTTATATTTTCAGACTAACTAGTCTTATTTTTATGTAAACTGAGTCCCCCGTATTCGCGGGGGTTAGGGACCAGAACCGTCCGCGAATAGTTAGAATCCATGAATAATTGTAACCCTCGCTAAAAATGCTTATAAGTACCTATTTTGATTGTTAAAACCCCATATGCCTTAAACTTTCATCCTAAACACTTTAGAAACATTTAAGACCCTTTTAAAAACATTTTTGAAAAATAGTATTGGTGACCATACACTTAGCGTAAATTTACTTTCATATGTACAATAACCGTTTTTAATTACGCATAGATCGATACAACTATTGAAAATACTGTATAAAATATGAGTAACAAGACATAAAATATAAAGTTTAAAATATTTTCTAAAATCAAAACTGTGATGATGCCTCCAGACTTAGCATAAGCCACTTTTAAGACCCCAGCCGCAGCCCTTAACAAAGAACAAAGCCCAAGCACTACGCATTTTTGCGCACAATGACGATGTACAATTCTGCCAATTTTGCCCATAAAAATGGACTTTTATATGTTTTCAGTCACTTAAATAACAGGGAAATAATACAAGAATATTTTAAATATATTCTAACGAAAAAATACGCGAATCGAGGGATTTCTCAGCGAGTAATTTGTACATAAGTTCTTCAGAAAAACACCCGAATATTGGGGGTTTCCGGGAATAACAAGTACATATCTATCTATAAAAGGCAGGATGTGTGTGTGTGTGTGTGTAACGAATGCACGGCCGCAATTTTCGACGGATTTGCACCAAAATTTACATGCACATGCTCCAAGTTAGTGGGAAAGCCAAGACTGACTTTGCATTTCCCAACTCCCATCGATAGTGGAAATAATCGACTTTGTCATGCTTCTACGTCAGTTTTCATGTAGCCTGCGGCCATTTTCTACTGGCCAGAGTGGGAGCCTATAGCTGGCTGCCACGAATAGGCAGGAAGATTCTATTGGCCGGCGTGAGAGCCAACAGCTGACTGACACAAATGTTAACTAGCATGCTAGAATGCAAAACAAAATCGATAGCTGCATTCGTCACAAGTGGGAAAAATTTAAATCTGCATGGCACTTTACTCCAATTGGCTCATTCGCTTGCTTAAACTCAACGTTGATTCTGATTCCGCAGAACTGGGTTGGGTGTGAAAAAGTATTTGTTGTTATTCTTTTTTCATTCGGTTTTTCCAGTTACGAGTCCTTTTTTAAAGCTGATTGTTCATTTTGTTTAGTTCTTTTTTCGCAACAGATTTAATGTTTAGTATAGAGCTTAGAAAAAATTCGCAGTGTGAGATAGGCAAGAAGTAAGGCATGTAGCAACATCAGCACGGAAAAGGGCACTCTTTTAAAGGCAAGGAAGGGCAAAAATATTTTAAGTCAAGTGATAGTGATTGCTGTATGAGTCGTACGATTTTTAAATCAAGCACGGGCAACGCCGGGCCATGCTGCTAGTATGTTCTAAAGAAAAACCCGCGAATGTGTGAAATCGTGAATGCTGAAACGCGGATAGGCGAGAACTCACTGCATATATTTCTATTCTAGTTTCACTCTTTTGGTTCTTAATAAACCTCCCAATGTCCGAAACTTCGTCTTCTTCAGAGTTTCGATTGTCGTAAGGCGTTTGTCTGACTGTTCGAGATTATGCACGTTTACGACACGGACGTGTACCCGGGGGAAAAACATTCTGCATGTGCCTGAGTTAATTGTGGATCTTTCGATGTAATATCCTAAAATAAATGATATTATATATATATATATATATATATATATATATATATATATATATATATATATATATATATATATATGTGTGTGTGTGCTATATATATGCGTGTGTGTGTGTGTGTATTTGTTTCTGTGTGTGTGTGTGTGTGTGTGTTCGTGTGTGTACGTGTGTATGTTCGTGTGTGTCTGTGTTTTTTTGTATATTCTGAAACCTTGAATGGCAAAACGCGTAATCAAATCTATTTTCAATGAAACGTATTCTATTTATCAAATGTCTATATATATATATATATATATATATGCTGTTATCCACAGGCAGACTGTTTCGCTGTATCACAGCTCATCAGTGTCGCTAGGCGTCCGGTTGCCTCTAGCTAGGATCAAATTTGCGTCAGTGGGAGATTTTACCCATAAGCCTTTGGTGCACCACAGGGAAGAAGGTGAATTTTAAGCGTATTTATTGTTAGATAAACACACAGTGACCGACAGGACTCGGTTTGCTTCACCTAAGAGTCTTGCATTATCAGCCGTAATAGACCCACACTTCATTCCCCAGAGAGCTCAACCGAAATAAATTTTTTAGAGCCTATATATATATATATATATATATATATATATATATATATATAATTATTAAAAAAAAAAATATGATTCCATCGCTACATAGGAATTGCCATGTTTCAAAAACCGAAGCTAAAAAATTCCAATTCAATTATATAGCGATGGAATCATATTTTTAAAATGATAATTTATAATATAGGCTTTACATGTGCCTAAGTTAATTGTGGATCTTTTGTTTTTCATATACGGAGATTCTAAACATGCCATTATTGGAATCGATTAGTAAATCTAAACAGGGGTTTGCTATTTATACTTATCTGGTATGTGCTTGTAAGTAGGATGTAAAATAATATCCGACAATAGCGGAGATAAAGAGATAAAGTGGAAAAAATTACTCAACAACGCGTTTCACCCTAACAGTAGACGTTCTCAGATCGGAAAGATAGATCGCATTGTGTTAGTATTTCTTTTTGCGATGTTCGATGTTACTAACTTGGTTTCAAACTTACGGGATCTTAAGATTGAAACCAGGGTACCGGATTCAACTGACCTCTTGATTTATAAAGTTAAAAGCTCTACATATTATTTTTTAACTTTTATTTTTTTTTTTTCACACGTGTATTGAGCATTAAAAAGTATTATATTATATATGTTTCATTAAAGACGACAGACAATATATATATATATATATATATATATATATATATATATATATATATATATATATATATACAGGGTGTCTATAAAAATCGTGTGCACTTTTAAAAATTATAACTTAAATTTTTATTTGAGATAAAAATAATTTTAAAAAGGATTAGAAAGAAATAAATCTAGATTTTTTTTAAAGGTTTTATTGAAATTTTATTTAAGTTTCCACATTTCCTCCATCATTAGCAATACAAAGAGTAATACGATTTTGCAGTTAACGGAAAACATTTGCCAACTGATTTACAGTAATGCCTGAAATCACATTAGTTATTTTAGCTATACTTAAAACTAGGGACATTAAATTTTATAACATTTGTTACAGATTATTTCTATCGCAAATACAAATAAAGTTACAAATTTTTAAAGTGCACACGAACTTTATGAACATCCAGTATATATATATATATATATATATATATATATATATATATATATATATATATATATATATAGAGTGAGTCTGCGTGTCAAACATGTTGTAGTGTGGCCTATATAATTATTTACGTGTTTTGAAACATGAAAACATTTTATAAAACATACATACAACAAACTATTTCTTATTTAACAGATAAATATTTAATCCTTGAAAATGGCTAAATGTATAGCCGAAAGCGCTCGGATAAAAAGAACATTCGGACAGTTTTTATATACTTTATCATCCGAAAAGAAAAAAATTATTAGATGGCATGAGAAATCGTATAAAAATCTAAATAAAAGCACCTTGTCTGTCGTATTCAATGAAATGTGCATGAAAGAAGGATTGCTGTCTCAATACACAAATATATATATATATATATATATATATATATATATATATATATATATATATATATATATCATATTTTACAGAAATATTTGCTTTGACTGGCATATTGCTGCTTGCTTTGTATGTGTGTTTTGTTGATATACAGATATTGAAATTTGTTTTTCTGCATGTATGGTATCGGACTTTTTCCCAACAAGTACCATATTTCTGGGTTTTTTTCTGCCTGTTGCTATATATACCAGTGTTTATCGGTGCCATTAGATTTCTTTGTAGCTATTATGAACTTCCTGAAAAAACAACTAAAACAGTTTTCAATAAATGCATGATGAAATGTACTAAAATCCTTTTCCAAAAAATGTCCTAGTAATTAAACCTTACCTCATTACTGTTGAAAAATTACCAGTAGCATACCGTAATTCCCCATGTATAATACGCATTTTTTTCTAAAAAAAAATTATAAGCAAAAATAGGGGTGCATATTATACACAGTTACAAAAAATCTTTCAAAATTGCCATTTCATAAATCGATTTCAGCTGCGAATTAATTACTCACCACAAACGTACGACAATTTGACACTAACATTCGGCGATTGCGACCCCATAAGGATGTCAAATACAATCACATGTACCTAACAATATTTACAAATATAAAATAAAATAAAAATTATCATAAAACTAAATTAGAATAATATCATTCTATGTTTAAAACCATTTTTAATAAGAGTAGGAAACGCTGGCCGTAATGAAATTGAAGAGGGTTTGATTACCAAATTAGGGGTGCGTATTATAGGTGGGTAGAAGCATTTTCCCACACCTTTAGTACAGTTTTAGGGGTGTGTATTGTGGATGAAGGTGTATTATACATGGGGAATTATGGTAATTTGTGCTAATACTGTTAGTGTTTCTTCATGGTTAGTGAGAATATCGCATAATATCTAATTTTGATTTTTTTTCTTCATAATTTGTTTATTTTTTCCGGAAATATTACATGCCAAAATTAAGGTGCGTCCAATGCGTAGATGCGTCTAATAGGCCAACAAATATGGTATATGTGCCACGGGGAGGCATCACGATTTTAGCGATAGTAAAAAAAATTGTTTAAGAACCACTGCTCTAAGCGTTAATGACTGTCCCCTACCCATCGTCACCCGATTTCAGCTCTGGAACCGAGACATCCTCTCGAAGATTTATGAACGTCGTCATTGTCACTTTGATGAAGATAGCTGACCAACTGCTGCGAGATTCTGTTTGAAGGACGTGTGCCTCTCAATATAAAAAAACAGCCACCTGTCGAGAAGAATGTCAGACGTGAAGACTGGCGGCATCCCTGCATTGATAGTGAAGTATTCTGCCTGGAGCGACCCTCCCTCGCGGTTAAACCAGCCACGTGTCATTTTTTTTCTTAAACAGCGACGAGGCAAGTCAGTGATAAGCTCCATCGCATTATCTAAATAAAATGAACATAAGATTGTATGAACGAATAAATAACTCCTTTTTTTTTACGAAAAAAAAAAGCCGGGAATCAGACAAACCAAATATTAAAGAAAATATATAGAGTATTATTGGCCAAAAATATTATCTTTTAACAACTCTTTTACAACTTCCTCATGTGACGTTTATATAGCAGTTCTCGCACGATCACCATAGTTAAGTAATGTTGAGAGTGGGTAGGACCAGGAAGGGTGACCGCTTGAGAATACAGCGAGCTTTTTGGTGTGCAGTTGATACAATGGAACGGTTCGAAATGAGTTCCATTCATTTATGCGCAAATGCCCTCATTTTTTAAGGTTTAAGTTGCTATTCCTTGTTTTCCATTTTCATAAATGTTATGGTAATTTACCCACGCGCGCATGGACTCTTTCAGCTATAAATAGGAGCAGGTACTGCCTTTTGGAGAGGGACGTTTCCAGCAGTCAGCTCTGACATCCTTGTTGAAACACTCTCGTCTGTATATGTTTGTATTACTGTTTCTGTTAATATATTTGTTTAACACAATTCCTCTCTTGTGTCTTTATTTCTGACCCTAACAAGGCCAAAACACTATCTATCTATCTATCTATCTATCTATCTATCTATCTATCTATCTATCTCAGTCAGTTCATATCTATCTGTTACATTCAGTTCATATCTATCTATCTCAGTCTATTCATATCTATCTATCTATCTATCTATCTATCTATCTATCTATCATGGTAATTTACCCACGCACGCATGGACTCTCCCAGCTACAAATAGGAGCAGGTACTGCCTTTTAGTGAGGGAAGTTTCCAGCAGTCAGCTCTGACAGTCGTACCGAACATCCTTGTTGAAACACTCTCGTCTGTATATGTTTGTATTACTGTTTCTGTTAATATATTTGTTTAACTCAATTCCTCTCTTTGTGTCTTCATTTCTGGACCTAACAAAGCCACAACAATAAATGAAATAATTATCAACCAGCATACATCGAAGAGTTCTACTAAAGAAATGTGTGCTTCCCACCCTGACAGAAATGCAGCTTTTTCTTCTAGCAGGGAAACTACTACAATGTTACCAGTTTGGACATAGGAGATGACCAAGATAAAATACGACCGCATTCTAATGTTGAAAATATGAGATATTTCGAGCCAACTTTTGAAAAAAAGGGGGGGCTATATAACGTTACTGAATTTTATATTTTAATTTTATTATGAAATGGCTTAATTAATATTTATGCATATCTTTTATCAAAAAGTGATTGTTATCGCATTTGAGAGAGTTTAAGACAATTCCTGTAGCATACAATTCACAGCAGGAATTATAAAGAGCTGAATAAAAATTGATCTAAAAAGAGTTGATCTGTGGTGGCCCCAATATCTACTCGAAAAATAGGAAAGAACACGTTAGATAAATAATCTGAAGTTCTTTCGTATTTTTATTTCTTATTTTTAAAAAACAGTGTTCAATACAAAAGTAGAGCCTAAATTATAATTATTTTAAAAAAATATGATTCCTTCGCTATATAAGAGTTCTCATGTTTCAAAAACAGGAGCCAAATGCTCTGTTTCATCCTCAAACAAATTTCTTTTTGAATCAAAATGTTGTGAACGCTAGAATTTATATTTGATTCGTTATCATTTATATATATATATATATATATATATATATATATATATATATATATATATATATATAATAATATTTATATATATAGATACATATGAAATGAGAACGAATAAAATATAAATTCAAGTGTTCTAACATTTGATTCCATATATATATATATATATATATATATATATATCTGTGTGTATAATTTTTATATATATATATATATATATATATATATGTTAGTGTGTTTGTGCATATATATATATATGTATCTATCTATCTCTCTATATATAGATAGATATATAAATATGCACAGACACACACACACATATATACAGATATGCACACGCAGATATATATATATATATATATATACATATATATATATCAGAAAATAAGTAATTTACAATGAGTTGAAGCGTAGAAACAGAGTGAAAGTTATGGCGATCTCGACTGATGGCGAGCGAAAAAGAATGTTACCTCTGCGTTGTTTCTCAACTCAGACACTTCGTCTCCATTTGTTAATTGGCTAATCAATATTCCATTTGGCTCGGGTGAATGAGAAAGCCTTTTGGTCCGCAGTCGATATAAAAGACAGGTTGGATACAGTGTTGTTCTTCCTCTCCCATAAGACATTTGCAATATTAAATAAGTCCTCTGCTTGGTCTCGGCGCGTTTTGTTCAAATTTTGTGCGAAGAAAATTAGACAGACGTGAATTTTGACGAGGACGCTAGGGTAAAAGCCAGATGAAGACATCTCTCGAGATGCCGAATTAAATGCTGTCTACTTGATTTTTCCCCAGACAACAAAATGAAGCCAAATAAAATAAAGATATATATAAATATAAGTCAAATTTATTTTTGCTTCTTTTATGTTCAGTTTATTGTGTTCTTATGATCTTCATTTCTGATATAACTTGTTATTTAATCTTTCCGTCCCGGAAACGAGAAATAATACTGTGTCGGTTTCCTTCTACATCATTTAAGATACTTTATTGGCTGTTTTATTTGTTTAATACCAGCAACTATAGGAATAAAGTTCAATCAAATCCGCTTGTGTACGGATAGACAGCGAATTAAATCAGGACACCGAAACAGAAAGTATGGTGCGACATCGCTATATCATATTTCTTTTCATGTTTTATTTAACATGTATACTCTATAGTGAAATGGTTCTAAGAGAATGATATTTCTTCTTCTTCTTCTTCTTCTTCTTCTTCTTCTTCTTCTTCTTTACATGGGTGATTATGGCTCTCCATAACTTCCTATCCTTTCTGGATTTTCCAGTGTGTTCAAGTCGCTACTGAATGTGACACAAAGTCGAGGCTTAAAGTGGGTTTAACGATAATACCGTGGACAAAAATTGCTCAAACCACGTTCGCATTTCCTCTTTGGTTGGAGGGGGACACCTCAGGCGCCGGCTAATAAACCCAGCCCCCATCCGAAGGCGAAATAATGCCTGGGGGATGCTCCCCTAGGGATTGAGCTTAATATTAATTTCAACTTTTCTCGATAAAAGCGACCTTCCATACAAGGGATGCATACGTCCTACACTTTGTAGCTCTTAACAATGTTTATATTTTCACCCACCCGCCCAATTCCTGTTGCACCATCCATATACACAAGCTCCTTAGGTAGGTCACTTGCTCTTTTCCTTTGACCATCTTGTCTTCAATGTGTCTTGTGAGCGTCAAATTTTCCAAGCCTTCGCATTTAGTGTCCTAGAAATTGTGATTTTCTGATTTTGTAGTGAGCCATGATCGTCAACGTCCTGAAGGGACACGGCTCATAGAAGAAGAAGAAGAAGAAGAAGAAGAAGAAGAAGAAGAAGAAGAAGAAGAAGAAGAGAGAAGAAGAAGAAGAAGAAGACGAAGAAGAAGAAGAAGAAGAAGAGAGAAGAAGAAGAAGAAGAAGAAGAAGAAGAAGAATCTTTTTTAAATGACTGACAGAACAGGGATGAAGAGGGGGTAACAAAAAACAAAAGTTATTATGAGCGAGTAAGGATAGAAAATTGTGGAGAGCCATGATCGGCAACGCCCTGAAGAAGAAGAAGAAAAAGAAGAAGAAGAAAAAGAAGAAGAAAAAAAAGAAGAATCTTTTATAAATGATTGGCAGAACAGTGATGATTCCTCAAAATCATGGTAATTCCCTGAATATAAAGAAACGGAATTCATCGACAGCTATGATAGTCCACATTCTTAATAGACATTAAGAATGTTAAGATATTACGTCATATTTGGATATTTAGAAAGTTGTGAATACAAGAAAGTTGTGAAAAGTAAGTGTTTGGCTGGTATTCTCACGTTGGAACTGGAAATCAGAAGAATCTTTTCGGATTCTTGGGTTATAATTAATTCTTGACTTTATTTTCTCCTAAACCCGGTTCCACCATCCATTTTCTCAAACTCACTAAGTATGTTATACGTTGTTTCCCTCCGTCTCACTTTCTGTTATAACTGAACGTACCTATTCTATTATTAATAGACTCTCCCACAGATAATAAGTAGTAGTAGCAGTGGCCAGTTGAGCTCAGTGGAGTTGAGTGAGTCAGTCGATGTCGGACATTGAAGTATCAACCATCACAACTAGATTGCTGCGTCATTAACTCTTATTTCAAGTTCCTAACGTTTTGTACGTCGGACCCTTTTAGGAAATACAAGCCTCCACTGTGAAAACTACTCTACAACACTTTCCCTCAATCTATCCTGTGTGTATCAGATTCTCCAAGCACTCATTCTTCATTATGTGCTCTAGAAACCTCAACTGTCTCTTCCTGATGTCAAGTTTCCTTTTTGTTTATATTTTCTATAAAAAATTGTCTTTGCTCACATGTTAGGTCCACGGTATCCTCAGCATCCTTCTACAGAACTACATTTCTGTTGCTTCGGGTATCTTCTTCATCTGTAAGGAGATTGTTCAGGACTCACGGCTATACAGGAGAAAGATATTACGTAACAGTTCAGTACTCTTTTCCTTGTTTCTAGCAAAGATGTTCTATTTTATAATACTTTTCTTGAGCTTTTGGAAGGCATATTTATCTATCTCAATACGCCTTCGGATTTCACAGTCGCATTCTCCGTCCCCCTTTTTTTTTTTTAAATACTTCCTAGATATTTAAATTAAATTCATTTAATCTTTATTAAAGAGCATATAAGTGAATTTCAATTAATTTACATTGATAAGTCCAGGGGAAAAAACTCTTTCCCATGGACGAAATGATCATCTGTATGAGGTAAATCGTTTGGATCTCATTAATTGTAATTCACACACACACACACACACACACACACACACACACACACACACACATATATATATGCATATTTTAAAATTAATAAATAATGCAGCTTAATTAACATTGTAAAATATTCATTCAAAGAATAAATCAAAAAGTTAATGTAATTAATGGCGAATTCACTCCGCTAACAGATTAAGAATGCATTAACTTACTGACCACTCGCTTAATGACAAGATCCTTGTTTTTATCAATTATACAGTGGATTGGAGGTTCGGTCCATTTTGTTCGCAAGTACTTTCGGTGAAAACATTCACCATCTTCAGGCATAGATTTTATTTTTTCACTCAATTTCAGGTAATTTTTTTTTAATAAAACATCTTTCAACAAGTATCACATTCATTTTCGTCTTGGAATTTTTACCCGACAAAGACTTCACAAAAACATTATCAGAGTATTCACATGTCCGGAGCTACATCGAGTCGTGCCGGTTGAAAAGAAGAAAGAACTCAACTTACTTCGCAAAAATAAGTTATATATTTCTACATGTGACAGTACTTGACGTAAGATAAATTAATAATATGAATACAATATCGTTTTCTAGATTCTTCCAGTTGCTAAGGACATTTTGCTTTGTTGTTAGTAGTTACTTTGTTTTCAAAAATTCATTTAATTTTTGCCTTGAAAAAGTCAACATTGGACGAAAGGCGTCGGCTAATATTAGAGTTTTCCTATTGTCTTTTCCCTTAATATATATATATATATATATATATATATATATATATATAAAAGTGAACATAGAAGTCAACACTTAGAGACGACAGTCTGTTTCATGCTATATGCAATCGTCAGGCCACGAGTGATGTTATTTTTCTCGGCTATTTATAT